AACAGCAGTGCCCAGAGAAAGGATGCCCGATCAAATTTCGCTCAGACCAATCGGAGCTTTCATCTTTTGCTGCCATAGGAAGCTGCGATCATCTGTTTCACACATGCGGTATTTACATTTATTACAAAGTAACATAAATCGAAATGAGATTTCGATGGATTCCACCTCCGCGAAATCATTTTTAACTTTGTTCTATGAAGAAGAAAAATTGATATGTAAGTAAAGAAAGGATTGCACCAGGTTGGCACCAAGCACGCGGCGTCCAACGGACGGAAGGCGTATGGTGACAAGGAAGAGGCCGCGGGCGGTTTATCGGGTCCATTTAGCTCGTCTGTTAGCCGGCGGATGCTCGGCACATCTATGTTAACCTGATTGAAGCAGTAGTTTCCGAGCCCAACGAGCCCAGCAACGACTGATGTACGAAAAAGTAGAGGGCTTGGAAATAGTCAGTTTAAAATCAACTATGAAAAGGACCTGTTCGGAACTTATCTCGAAAAGAGGCAATATCGAAGAGAATTTCGATCATTCGCTTATTCCAACCAGGAACCACCACGCTCTCATATTNCGGCACATCTATGTTAACCTGATTGAAGCAGTAGTTTCCGAGCCCAACGAGCCCAGCAACGACTGATGTACGAAAAAGTAGAGGGCTTGGAAATAATCAGTTTAAAATCAACTATGAAAAGGACCTGTTCGGAACTTATTTCGAAAAGAGGCAATATCGAAGAGAATTTCGATCATTCGCTTATTCCAACCAGGAACCACCACGCTCTCATATTCCACTAGGAATAGGAAGATCGGTTGACTCGTCACTGCTGCAGAAGTAATCAGCTACGACCATGGCTACGAAGAAAAGTAATCATTTCCTTTGCTATCGTAGGGGCACACCTGTGGGGCCGAAGAATGTCTACATTTGTCAGCCTTGACTGAGCCTCAGCCAAGACGTTATGACTCTTTATTCGCCCGTTGTCGCCTTCACCAGAACTTGGGAGCCAAAAATCACTCCCAATTTGAGATGTGCCCCTGATTCCACTTCGATTCAGAATCTCAGTGGCGTTTCTTACAGCAAATGTGGTCTTGCGAGGGCTAGCCGATGTACATCAGTGCCTTTGTCCTCCCAGACGGACTCACTATCAATAGACCGACCCCAAAGAAAGAAAAGGTTCGGCCGGCCTGGCTGTATATCAATTGGGATCGGATCCCCGGATCATGCATGCAATAGTAGGTCTCTTGCCACTACACCATTTCCGTCTCAATACGGCATTACCACGAACAATTTAACTTTCTCGAACCATCTGTTGGTCTTGGAAAAGACAAGCGAACAACAAAACGAGAGAAAACAAGGACAAGAGCCATTTCAAAGTGGGTTTGAGCCAAAACTTTGAATTCCAGTTAGAAAAAGAGCTGCGTGAAATTGTCGGCCTGAACAACAACTTGCACAGAAAAACGTTGTGCGGGCGGGCCGGCGCCAGTGATGCTCATCAGTTTCGTTGTTCGTCGAAGTCGAACTTCGACCGAATCGAATTAGTCTTCCACAGGCCTTGGTGCATAATCAATATGTGAAAGTTGCGGTGAAAATGGCAAAAAAATCAATTTCTGAAAGCAATTATGTTTTTGAAAGACCTATGTGAATCATTTCCGAAAGACAGACTCAAAACGTCAACTTTCAACAACTGATTCATGTCTCCAAAACTTTAAGGACCAAGACGTCAGCAAGATTGATTTCCAGTCGGAAATGAGGCATTTTTTCGGACCCGCCACATAGGAAATGAGGATGGAGTGTTGCGAAAAATCAAAAAAAAAACTCAGCAAAGGTTATCTGTTGTTCAACACTTCGATATTTTCTATAATATTTCAAAATAGGGGGCTATATAGGAAATTTGGATCAAAATTGGACTGAAACTTTGAAATTTCCTTACGAGAGCAGGACAAAGGACAAACATATCATCACAGAATGCTGTCTGCTCGCTGAAAGGGCAGCAGACTCTACAACAAGCGAACGGAAGCAAATTAGACGAGTTTCCAAAGAAACTAAGTTTTTTACGTCCCAATGTCCAAAGTTTTGTCCTTTCATCTTGGAACGTACGATACTTTGGGAAAATTGTTGATTAACAATCCGAATAGTCGGAAAAATTGCACCAAAACATTTTTTCACTACGGTAGCCAAAGATAAATTTCTTCATGTATAATTAAAATTTGAAAACCCTAGAATACAAAAAATGCAGTGCCAAAGCCATTTGAGCTAAGCCGTGTGCTCGACTCCTGAACAGGAGTCGAGTACACGGCTTAGCTCAAATGGAATTAACAGAAACGCAAAGATATGTGGCTTCGTGTCCATCCATTGGAAGCCACAACATTTCATAAATTGGTACACAAGCTCAGACAGGCAGTCGACATCGAGTTCGACGTTCCCATTAGGATCGAGCCTTTCCGTCTAATCAAACCCCTTTCTGGGATGCGTCTCGCATTTGAATCCCACTCAGAATTAAGGTGAAGGTTTGAATGCATATATTTGTCATACCGTGACTGTCAGTGGCCAGCCGATGTAAAGTCAGTCAAAGCAATCATCCGTTCAGACTAGTCTGATATGCATCGACCCCGGAGGGATTTAGTGGTTTACAGCTTACTTTACAGCCTACAGAGTATTGAAGCACAGTAACCTAAGGTTACAAAAACTAATGCATCGCCGTCACTACAAGATGGAGGAAAGAAAAGTGTGCGGCTAGTTTTCCCAAATATTTCCTGAACATTTTCTTTTATTAAAAACAATTTTTTAGCACTTGATCAGATGAAATTCACGTGCATTTCACGTTTTATCGGCGTGCTCATTCCATTAAAATGTGATAAGAAATTATGTGAACCGAAAGACGAAGCTTTCGAATTCTT